CCCTCTCATGAAACTTGGATGAGGAACAGAGAGTTGTGAGTCCTTAACTTCATTTAGACTGTGTTGGCCCATCTCAATACCTTTTGTTCCCTTTTCTTGAGTGTGTAAATGTGTTATTGTATACTTACTCTCTCCATTGGGCTATTCATATGTGAAGACTGTTGATGAGATCATAGCCATTGATAGTTATGTTTTATTCATCTTCACTGGGTTCAGTGTGCCCTCTTAAGAAGTTTTTAAACAGGCTCCCTCAATCAAGATATCGCTTTCCTTGCTCTCATATCTGTCCTTCCTCCATCTCAACTATCCCATTCCCTCAAGCTCTCCCCAACCCTCCCCTTCTCCCCTCCTCATCCCCTTCTCCCTTCCCTCTATCCTCCAACCCCATGCTCCCAAATTTTGTCAGGCCATCTTGTCTGCTTCCAATTTCCAGGTGCCTTTTTGGGGTTAGTGAGAAAAATTCCTAGAAAAATTCCTAGGAATCCACAAGGATGATCCCAGCTAAGACCCTAAGCAATAGAGAAAAGGGTGCCCAAACTGGCCTTGCCCTGTTGTCAGACTGATGATTATCTTAAATGTCACCATAGAACCTTCATCCAACAACAGATGGAAACAGAGGCAGAGACCTACATCGGAGTACTGGACTGAGCTCCCAAGGTCCATTTGAAGAGTGGAAGGAGTGAGATTATAAGCAAGGAGGTCAAGACCATGAGGGGCTCACCCACTGAGACAATACACTGGGCTAATGGGAGCTCACCAACTCCAACTGGACTGGGAATGAACGATCATGAAATCAAACTACTCCCTCTGAATGTGATTGACAGTTGGGGCAGACCGTCTGGCCAATGACAGTGGCACTGGGATTTGTCTCTACTGCATGTACTGGCTTTTGGGGGTTCTATTCTCTTTGGATGTATACCTTGCTCAACCTAGATGTAGTGAGGAGGACCTTGGACTTTCCACAGCGCAGGATGCCTTGCCCTCTCTTAAGATTGGAGGGGCATGAGGGGTGTGGAGAGAGTGGGGGGGAAGGGGAGGAGGGGAGGAAGTGGGAATTTGGATTGGTATTTTTTAAAGTAATAAAAAAATTACAATCTCAAAAATAAACCAATAATATGTTGCCACCAAAAAAAAAAAATTTTTTTTAAACAGGCTGGAGAGAGAGCTCAGTAGTTAAGAGAACTTTTTGTGCTTGTAGGTGACCCAGCATTCAAGGGCATCAGTAGCTCCAGCTCTTAGGGGATCCGATAACCTCTGCTGGCCTCTCTGGTCACCAAACACACACAGAGTCCACATACATACATGCAAACAAAACACACATAAATAAAACAAACAAATCTTTTTTAAAAAAATTTAAGCCAAAAGAATCTTTTAGCCTGTGCTAAATTCTAATTCTTCAAGAATATTTTGTCATGGGAAATGAAATAAACTTTACACTATTTGTTTATGCGGGAAGGATCATGGGGAACAAGTGGGGCTCTAGAAGGAACAGAGCTTCTTAAGAGTTCATCGTGTGCTTGGCGAGAACTCTATAGATGCAACGGACACAACAGAAATCTGCTTTAAGCTTTGAAAGTCTGGCCTTGGTCAGCAAAAACAACAGCAACAAAAACAGATTTAAAAAAAGAAGAAGAAAGGAAGGAAGGAAGGAAGGAAGGAAGGAAGGAAGGAAGGAAGGAAAGAAAGAAGGAAGGAAGGAAGAAAGGAAGTCTCCTTGATGTAAATTTAAGCATTGCTTTCTACAGCACCTTAAAGTCACTTAAATTACTCGCCATGAAAACACAACACCCTCCTCACCCCAGCCTGGAGGCAAAGTCTCTTTTTATCTGTATTTACTCAGCCCGTGATCATAAAATTCGGATTTGTTTCATGTCGCTCTGCCCACTTTATGTATTGATTAATAAGTGTGCTGGATGAGAAGACCAACTATTGTTCATCTAATCAGCATGACTGAATACCTGGTGCTGAATTGCTCTTCTTTTTAAATTAAATCTATTTTACATTTGGAACGTTGTTTCCCTCCCTCCTCTACCCCTGTTTCCCCCCAACCTCTTCTCTGTGCACTCCCACAATCTGCTCCACCCCTGTTTTGGTAATCCACAAAACATAGTGTATTAAGTTGCAGCAAGACTAAGTACCTCCCCTTGTGTTAAGGCTCGGCAAGGTGATCCAGTAATGAGTAGAACCCTAAAAGCAGGCAAAAGAGTTAGACACAACCCCTGCTCTCACTGTTAGGAGACCCACAAGAACACCAAACTACACAATTGTCACATGTATGCAGAGGGCTCAGGTCAGTCCCATGCACGCACACTCATTGTCGGATCAGTCTCTCTGAGCTCCCATGAGCCCAAGTCAGTTGATTCTGTGGGTTTTCTTGTGATGTCCTTGACCCCTCTGGCTCCTACAATCCATCCTCCCTCTTTTCTGCAGGATTCCCAGAGCTTGGCCTAATGTTCTTTTTGTTCTCAGGGAAGCATCGTTTCTGGTCACCCAGGGATGGTTTGCTTGCTTACCGGCAATAAAGAGGTGGGGTTAAATCTCACCTACAGGAGATCCTTACAGCAAAGAGCTGAAGAAGAAAACTGAAGACTGTGGGGAAGGGTGGAAAGAACTCCGAAGGGTGTCTAGCTTTCTGTATATGCAAACTAGTTGTGATGCCTACAGAGTCCTTCTCAAGGAAGCTAAAAATGTCTGCCTCAGAACTACACAGCCATTTCTCAAACACGCGGTACACTTTACACACTAGTGTAGGCTGTTCGCCCTGCCATGTCTTGCCGGAGACAACTTTCTTCTCTCAGAAAGGCGTCCCTGACCACTACACCCGGAAGATTAACTTCCTCCCCATTCACGTGATGCTGAAGTGTCAACCGCAGTGAAGACACTTGTGGTAGAGAATCTGGACAGTGTATTTAAACACTGTCTCTTGGTCTGAAGCATTGTCTAATTATAGATACTGCTTATAGCTTTCCCGCCTCCTAATTTAAAGGGGAACACAGTGGCTACACTACATCTGAAGCATGTTAGTGGGGTAAAGTGTTTGTGAAACAGCTTGTACGTGGTAACTGGTGTATATGGTCGTGTGTTCAGTGATTCTACTAAATTCAGCTATGATGGCTTTCATTGACTGTTTTGTAATATTTTATACTTATTTGCCTCTTAACTCAACCCAATTAAATATATATTTGCTTTTATGATAACAAAATCCATACACGTTTATGATGGAAAATATTAAATGAAGAAGTAAAATGAAAACATGCGTAAGTAATGATAAATAATCAAGAAGTTGTGGTGTTAACAAATGAATTTCACGTCCTTCATGTCTAGGTGCAGGGTGCTTGAGTGCTGGCCCATGCACCCTAAGCCGGTGGCCTCCCAGCTTGCCCACCTCATCCTCTCACAACCTTTAGCACCAAGGTTAAGGGGTCAGGGTCAAGCTTTCCTCATAAGGGCACTGGACAGGAAAGACTTGTCACCTTTGGTCCCCTTTTTCCTGAGGGTGCTAGGATACCCACCTAGTGACTTATCTAGGAAGTGTGACTGATTACCACCCCCCACACACACCCACACATACAAAGTCTCCTCCCCACCCAGTGGGAAGGGATAGAGCCACAGCCCAAGCAGAACAAGATGCCAGTCATTGAAGTTTCCCAGCCAGGGACACTTTTGATCCCGAGTCCCCAGAATAGAGCTGCTCAAGATTACCTCTGGCAGCCAGGCATCCTAGGGTGGCCAGAGCCACTAGAGAGACCCCGACTCAAACAACAGCGACAAAACTGCATCCTGCCCCGAGAGTCTTCTTAACTATCTGGCCATATTTTTTTATGTAGTATATCCTTTATCTCTTGGATAGTTTGTTGTTGTTGTTGTTGTTTGTGTGTGTGTGTGTGTGTGTGTGTGTGTGTGTGTGTGTGTGTGTGTGGACTTGACACAAACCTGGGAAGAGGAAATGTCAAATGAAGAATTGCCTCCATCAGGTTGGTCTGTGGAAATGTCTGTGGGGGCATTTTCTAGATTGCTAATTGATGTATGTAGTAAGAGACTGCTCATTCATTTCCCAGCCACCCAGACTCAAGTAATCACACAGAAGCTATATTAATTACGACACTGTTTGGCCAATAGCTTAGGCATGTTTCTAGCTAACTCTTACATCTTAAATTAACCCCTTATTATTAATCTGTGTATCACCACGACGCTGTGGCTTACCACTAAGGTTCCAGCAAAGCTCTCTCCTTTGGCAGCTACATGGCATCCCCTTGAATCCACCCACTCTCTGTAGATCTCTGTTCAAATTTCATGCTTGACTGTACTCTGCTAAGCCATTGGCCAAGACAGCCTTATTCAGTAACAAAGACAAGCAACACGTGTACAAAAGGACATCCCACATCGTATGTAGGTGGACCCAGCCTGCTATGCGAACCATCTCTGGGCAGGGGGTCCATAGACATTGTAAGAAAGACAGATGAGCAAGCCAATAAATAGCGTTCCTCAGTGGTCTCTGCTTGAGTCACCGCCTCCAGATTTCTGCCTTGGTTTCCCTACATAGAGGACTCTAAGCTGTAAGCTAAATAAATCACCTCCTCCCAAGACTGCTTCTGTGGTCAGTGTCTTATCACAGCAGCGAGGATAAAACCAGGACACTGTGTGTGTCCTTATGCCTTCCCTCGGTATCCACTCCAAGTGCAGGTACCCTGTTTTGACTTCTCTTAAGTTGACGCGCAGCACGCAAGGTGTTCCTTATGACGTTTCTCAGCATGACTCAGTGCTGGATTGTTTTACTCTAATATCAAGTGAGCTGCAGCTTGTGTCTTTGAATTCTAAGATTGCTTTACCAAAGGATATATGACTTATTTATATTTCATTTAAATATGAACTAGGGAAAACGTAGAAGGTTGTCATTATCTTTCCTGGAAACTGTATGTTAAAGGATAAAGACAAAGTCTGCGTTCTTCCTGATGCACTGAGGTCACGGGGACTGAATTTTCCTTGTCCTTTCCTCCTAGTTCGTTGCCCAGCCCAACTGCCAGCAGCTGCTCGCCTCCCGCTGGTACGACGAGTTCCCCGGCTGGAGGAGAAGACACTGGGCCGTGAAGATGGTGACGTGTTTCATAATAGGACTGCTTTTCCCCGTCTTCTCCGTGTGCTACCTGATAGCTCCTAAAAGCCCACTTGGACTGTTCATCAGAAAGCCATTTATCAAGTTTATCTGCCACACTGCCTCCTATTTGACCTTTTTGTTCCTGCTGCTGCTGGCCTCTCAGCACATCGACAGGTCAGACTTGAACAGACAAGGTCCACCACCAACCATCGTGGAGTGGATGATATTACCGTGGGTCCTGGGTAAATGTGTTACTATAGAAAATATAATACCAAACGTGTTTCTGCCATGGAATTCTGTTGCTTGGAAAGAATATTCACGAATGTTTGGAGCGGAGGGAAATGACACATAGGTTCTGATCGTGGTTGCTCTTGAGACCTGATCCTCAAAAAACAAAAATATTTTGCCCAGCTGTGGTGGGCTTGCTCCAAAATGCAGCCAGGGAAAGGCAATGTTAGGTTACAGGGTTACAGGTGTTGGTGACTTCATGTCCCACAGAGGACTCAGGCCTCACTGGCCCCACATAGCCTATTTTTCTCCTGTGTTGTCATCTGAACCCCAAGCCTTTACGGGGGAAGCAGATGCTCTGCCTCTGACTGAGCTGCATCCCCAGCCCCCAATTTTCTTAGAAGTCCTCCACAGATCAGTATGTGTCTCTCTAAAGAACCCGATTTTTATATATATACATATATATACACATATGTGCATACACACACATATATGCATAATATTTTAAAAACTCTATCTACTTGTTTTTCTTTGAACATGTGGTAGTTAGGAAATTTGGATATTAAACAATAGAAAAAATTCAACCTCCATGTTGCCAGAGATATATAATCATTTTAGAACTGCCACAGATCAGAGTAGAAACCTTATTTATTCACATTAAAACTGTGTTTTCCTTTCTTCCTTCCTGTGACTGTGGCCATGCTTAGAATTTGCATTTTAATTCCCCTTTTCTGTATCCTACTGTGGTTTGCGGAGAAATCACATTTTCTCAGCTTAGCTCTTCACTTGAGATCCCTGTGGGACTGGACCCAGCTCGTTAGGAAGCATGACAGATTCCGTAACTCACCATCTCAGATCTGCTTGGGTTCACTTGAGAGCTGAGAGGTCACTAAAGCAAGGAACCAGCAGGGAGAAAGAAGACCAGCCCTCAGTCCTGAAACTTATGATCAGCCTAAATAGTAGCTAAGAAAGGAGGACAGCGACCTGATGATATTTACATGTTAACTACTTTCTATAAATACCACTTCAAGTGAATCTTAGCATCAGTTCTGACTTGCCTGATGTGCGTGCACTATGCGCTCATTGAGGTCAAAAGGAAAGTTTAGATCTGTAAGTCTTCAAAAAATCACTACAGCCTTGGATTTGATAGTAAGATGAAATTATTGCTCTCCACCAAATTGTCTCACATAAGGGACATAATTTATGTTAATTTTATTCATAAAATGATTTCTAGAATAATTCTTATGAAAACACTTAAGAGGTCGTATCTAAGCATTCATAACTCACTGAATATCTATCTGAAAATCCTGACATCCCAAATGGAAGGCACACCTACCTTAGGAAAATGCTCACAGATGCAGTGTGTCATAAGCACAGGTAGCATCCCTCAACTTTGTGCAGTCAATGAGTGTACACTGGATCCCTTCAAAGAGCCGAAGGGTATGACTGCTGTATAGAGCGCGAAGGGCAGTTGGCCAGAGGGAGCTTAAATTTCACTGGAGGGAATGGGTAATGAATTGATGATCAGAACTTCAGAAAATGGTAAATATTATAAAAATAGAAACATTTAACTTTGAACAACATTTGTGGTTAAAACTGCCCTGGACTATCTGGTATATGTTCAATGTGTAACAGAATATTCCCTGACATGTCGATGAACGAAATGACACCATGGTCACTGCTTAGTGGATAGGCTTAACTGTACTATAATTCCAGCAGTCGGAAGTATCTGCTAGAGGCAACATTTTCAGGATAATATGACTGCAGGGGGCTAATGGATCTGGACGCTTGTAGAGTAAAAGGTATTTCATAGAATTAAAGCCGTACGTGAATGATTATCTCACTTCAGCAATAGGGCATGGGATCAATGGTGTTTATGTATCAGGTAGACCTCTCAAAATAGTTATGCTGTTGAATCAAGAAAACCTCACTGCTAAGACTGAGTCTGAAGCGCTCTAGAGGATCCAGGCTTATAAAGGGCTGTAAACTGTTGCTGGGAAGCTGCACACCGTTACTGGGATACTGTGAAGAGGCTGTATCTCTGGGACTTCAAATACAAGCAGTCACAAACCCTCAGGGTTTTCAGTGCCTTTATCAATAAAGGGAAAGGATTTGCACTGGATGGCATTTAGCATGCCATTGAATCTACTGAGCTTCTCTCATTAGGGAGAGAGAATCCCTGTTCTCACAAAGGGGTAGAAGACGGCATTTGGGTAGTGGTGCTTAGACTCTTCTACAAATGTGATATAGATTATAAGCGTGTGGTCAGATCTGATGGCTGTACCAGTGAATCATCTTCCTTGCCCAAGACTGCTAGATGATGGAGTGAGACATCTTTAGCATCATTTCCTTACCCAAACATTTCCTGGTTCGTGCATCGTAAGGTTCTAGATGATAGCGTAAGGTAGAATGACTTGAGGCTGGAGCGATGGCTTAGTGATGAAGAGCCCTGGCTACTCCTGCAGAGGACCAGGGTTCAGTTACCCACACCACCATGGCAGCTCACACTATCCGTAACTCCAGTTCCAGGAGGATCTGCCGCCCTCTTCTGGCCTTTGCAGGCACTGCACGCATATGGAGCACATATACACATGACAGCAAATATTTAATATATAAATAAAATAAAATTAAGGAAAAGAAAAAATTCCTTGCGATACTAATTTTCAGACTTTCTCAAAAGCCATTTTGAGCTTTTCCTAAAGATGCATTATGATTGGTAAACGTATGCCTTAGCTTCTTATACGACATAAAAATAAATATATGTACATCTATATGTATACATACACTTATATAATCAACTTAGCAAAAAATGTGACAATTTTTGTCACAAAAATTTATGACAATAGCATTTTATACTGAAAGCAGCTCTTCGGTAAAAGTTGTCATATGTGAAATAGTGCTTTGCTCCTCAAGGGGAGTAAAATGGCTGCGCAGTGATTGGCAGTAATCATGCCTGTGAATACGCCACAGTCAAGCAGCATGCAAATCTATGCGCTGTGAGCGTGAGGCGAAGGGTGAACTGAGGAGATGACGGCGCGGAGAAAGGCATCTCAGTTCCCTTAAAAATAGAGCCTGTGGAATTGCTAGCCACAGAGCAAGAAGTGCTCATAATATCCGCGGTGCCCAGCTTGCCTGCATTGCAGACTTCCTTAGCACTTTTTCTTTAGCAACACTGGCTTCTCATTTCCATCCTTTGCTGCGTAATTTATAGCTTAGAACGTTGATATTAACAAGTCTGAAAATCTTCAACTGAGTCTGCCAAGGAGGCAACGTTGGAATGAATAACGTTGATCTTATTCTCATCTCGACACTCATAGGAACAAACAAGCATATTATTGGGACCATCTTAATATATATACATATATAATTTATATATGTATGTATGCACACACATACGTAATAATTTTTGTTCTTGTGACCATTTTTATTTTTCATCTTTTGGTGCTAGGGAGTAAACCCAGGGTTTCTTGCACACTAAGCATGTGCTCTACCACTGAGCCATGCCTCAACGACTCATTTTTTTTCAAATAATCACTAAGATCATATGACTTCAATAACTCATAATTTCAGCCTTACTTCTAAAGCTCCTAGGACCTCAGTAAGCTCTAAGCAGTGTTACAATAATAAGAAACTAGCCTTTAGCTCTCTTCCCCCTCAAGTGAGTTCAGCAGACTAGCTCCAGCCATGTACAGATTCAAATACAGCAGCAAAACTCCATTTGATATTTTGAAGGACTATTATAATACTAAAACAAAACAAAACAAAAAACCCAGACAACCATTGCAGTATGACACTTTTTCCCTCATCTTCCTTTTTATCTGTTTGTGCTGGTGAAACTATTTAAAAGCTATTTTTATATAGTTATACATGGTAAACCATTAAGACATGCAATATTTAGAAATATTCAAATTGTTGTCTGTGCACCTACTAACTCACAGTAACTGAATTCTTTACTGGGGAAAAACTGAATTCTGTCAGGCTGTGACAGTGTTGGTCAGATTTAGCACTCAAAGACTGAAATCTACAGGGCTCCCAAGTGGTGCCTAGTGGAGATGGGAGGAGGGGAGCGTATGGGAAAAGCAAGCTAGACACCAAAATATAAAAAGGTCAAAGACTTGGATGGGCGTTTGAATTAGTTTTCCTTGGCTTGAAATTACAATAGCTATTGTTGCATAACAATATTAGGAACTGTAGCGGCTGAACAGTTTAGATGCACATCCTCCTGCGAATGTCACAATAGCTCGGTTCCATCTGGCTAGAGTCAATGATGGAGCAGGCTTTGAGAAGCTCGATTCCTTGTCTAAAATCAGGACGCCAGCAGGTGCATGCTAGTATAACAAATCCCAGAGCTCCTGAGCAAAGAACCTCGATTCTCTATGAGACACTGAGCCAGGGGTGGGAGACCCAGGATGGCAGGAAGCACCAGGACTCTACAGAGCACTACTCCCCGAGTCTCCTTACACCTTTACACAGGTGCAGGAGACTGGGCAGCGCATGGGATTCATCAGAGGGGTAATGCATTCCAGGAGGCACCTTGGTTATGACAATATTGAATAGCACATCTATGCACTATAAATCCTTTGTACCACCCCACCACACTGCTGCTGCCATCTCCCTCCCTTCCCATGGTCTAGAACAGGCTATATGGCTCTCTAGTGCTGGGATAAGCAATATCTTGGATATATGAAGGAAGGGAGGGATGGAGGAGGGGTGGAAGGAGAAAAGGAAGGAAGGAGAAGAAGCAATGGAAGGGAGAAAAGAAAATGAGAAGGAGAAAAAGAGAGGGAGGAAGGGGGAGGGAGGAAGGGAAGGAAAGAAGTACTAGAATATGTACACATTTTATTTTTATATTCAAAAAATCACTTTCTGGGACATAAAGTTAAGTTCCCTTGTTTCTTAGAACATTATTAATATTTACCCTTCTGTTGAGGGAGATGCATTTGACAAAGGTGTTTCAGTCAATTGTTTTTAAAAATACTGAGAACATATCGTAAGTGGAGAGTAATGATCTTCA